AGGCGGGAGGCTGCCTCACCCTGCTGGCCGTGGGGAGGGCGTGTCTCCTGTCCCGCTCCGCCCACTCGGCCCCGCCGACCCAGTATCGGCCAATCAAAAAAGTGATGGTGGCTAATAGAGGTGAGAATGCAAATGTGTAATTCCGATTCAAAAGCATAATGCCGCTTGCTTTGTTGATCATTCATGTTCAAGCACTCGTCTGTGTGGGCGACTGCACAATCCACCTTTTATTTGTTTTCCCTCTCCTTCTGCCTCACTGAATAGCTTTATTTTCTATTTCTGTTATTGGAGAAAGACAGGTTACATTTAACGCATATTAGAGGTTTTCACTTCAGCGCTTGGGGAGGAGGGATGGTGGGTTGGTGTAAATGTCCTGAAGGGCATTTGAATATTACTGCCAATCAGTTATGCCATTTAATTAGCATGGGGCTCTTTGCAATTTAATTCTTGGGTTGAAAAATATGAAACATAAAACCTGAGACAAATTATTCAGTTAGGGCTCGAGCGAGCTGCTGGAGATGGCTACTTATTTTCGACTTCATCCAACAATACCAAATAGGGAGAACCCCTTGAGACGGTGTGCGCATTGAAACATTCATGTCAGCCTTCCTCCCTTCAAAGCTGTATTAAACTGCTTTAATCCATCATTGTGATTGAGATGGCTTTTGGTCTGTGACACACGCACGCACCCACACCGTGGGGCTTTCCGTCAGTGTCTGTCCTTCACTTTGGCGTGGCACGATATCTACACCACATTAGATCACATTCATCACACTGCAGTGCACCAGGCTGAGCTGGGCTGTTGTGTGCTTGTGTGTGTCAGAGAGAGCGAGAGAAATTTTCCCATGTTTTTCAATGTCTCTTCCTTTTGGGGGGGGGGGCTGCTTTGTGTTGGGAGCCCAAATTTGTATTATTTGAACTATGATGCCATTTCTTTCTTCAAAAATGTCTTTCTTCAGGTGAGATCGCCATCCGTGTGTTCAGAGCCTGCACTGAGCTCGGGATTCGAACGGTGGCCGTCTACTCTGAGCAGGACACTGGACAGATGCACAGGTACGCTCGCCGGTGTGATAAAGCGATAAAGCTTGCGAAATGGCACACTGCAGCACCCGGAGGCTCCTGCAGTGGTTGAAATAATGAGGCTGGCAGCCAGACTTTTGAGCGAGCAGCTCAGCTGCCACTGCAGATTATTGATCACGACACACCATTAGAGGAAGCCTTTCAGCGTGTCTTTGTGATGCCTTGTGAGGCGGACGTAGGGGGTACTATATTGACGTTACAAAACATTCAGTCCAGCATGTTTGCCCAAACACCCTCATGTCCCTCAATGCCAGAGTTTTTTCTTTTTTCCTCATAGCATCTCTGTTTTATTGTTTTCCTGAAAATTGAGCTATTTTGATAAAATACATATAAAACATGCCTACACAATTTTTTTTTTCTTTTGTCTTTGTAGGCAAAAAGCAGACGAGGCCTACCTCATTGGGAAAGGGCTGCCGCCTGTCGCCGCCTACTTGGACATCCCCGACATAATCAAAGTAGCCAAGGTAAACTGTCATTACTTCGCTCAACTTTATTGATAGCGCACTTTAAAAACAAAACAATCTTAAAGTCAACGGGAACGTGCATAGGCGGTGCAGGGTGGGGGCCTGGAATCGGATATGCTCCCTCTTAGATGTTCCAGTGAAGAGGTGAGCAAGCAGTATTTTCATCCAAATGGAGAGTAGGACTGGCTGACTCCAGCACGCACGCACGCACGCACGCACGCACACACACACACACACACACACACACACACACGCACACGTCGCGAGATTGCAAGTTAAAGTGTTTAGGAAGTTAACGACTCTAAATGAAGTACATAAGCAGTCTTTTTTTTGTAATAATTCAACGTTCATTTGGCTTTATTTTAGCCTAAGTCTTGCCCATAAGACCAAAACATTCATTTAGTGAGTTTGTTGAATGTAAAACAGATTCACTCATTGCTAGATTGTTTGCTAAAAAATACATAGGAAGAATACCTTGGAAAAAAATGCTTATTAAATTGCAATCGCAATATTGAGGAAATAAAAAAAAAAATCGCAATTTGATTATTTTTCAAAATATTTCAGCACTAAGCACTGGTGTAGATTACTGTACTACGATCGTTATGGATTTCTACTATCAGCCGTTGAATCTGCAGAGAGCTCATGTCAGTTGTCTCTCAATCCGGCATTTTGTTCCCCAACCTCTCATTGTAGTCAAGGCATAAAAATGTCTGAAAAGAAGGCTCTTTTATCAACATTTCCATAAACTTGACATTTAATATGTGTGAGTGTGAATACATGTCATATAGCAGCCACCACCTCCCTAGGCCCCCTTTGTCAGCCACATCGACCAATTATCTTGTCATTTTTGTTCTTTTTGTCCTTTTCTTTCCCTTAATACGCTCTTTAGCACGTACGCAGCCAAGCTCATAAAAAGCTAAAATAATGCTCTCCTCTTTGGAGCTTATTTGCCACTTCCACATGCAACCGTACTGCTCCCTTGCGTGACGTTATTGTCATATACTGTGTGGAACAGTGTCTCTCTCACCTGCCTCTTTGTGTCTATGTGTGTCCAGACTTCCCTTAGCAACAGGATCGTCCGTGATTAAAGTCAGCCTTGCACTTAGGAGCAGATGGTACACGCTGGTGTGTGTGTGTGTGTGTGTGTGTGTGTGTGTGTGTGTGTGTCTGTCTCTGTCTCTGACCTTGTCATCTCATCAGACGTGTCTACATGCTCCCAGATGACGAACTTTGATAACATGAGAATGAAAGTGTGTCCAGCTCCAGTCTCCTTTTGTGTCACATGACGTGTCAATTGCATAAACTGAGGGGCCCAACTTGGTTTCCCGTGTACCAACCAAGTTGGCGGGCCAAGCTAGCCAACTGATACAGAAAGCAATTATTAGTCGTGTAGCTAGCACCAGAGATGAACCCAAGTGCTGATTGGTAAACAGAGTCTAAGGATCGAAGGGGTAGGAACAGAGACATGTCTGTGGACTACATCGCTGTCGTCCAGAACAGATAAAAACACAGCTTCAATCATCCTCTCCTAATAAAACAGTGGAAAACTGTTTCTAAACAAGAAACCAAGCACTCTCTCTCTCTCTGATGGAACCATTAGATGCAGAGATAAAATCAGCATCAAGGTTAGGGGCTGTAGCCTTGGAAAACAACATAGACGGTGCATTTCCTTTTGCTAACCTGAAGCACAAGCTGGGAGATAAGCAAGAGTTTCTTGAAAATGATTAAAAGGAAGTTGCCGGTTTTTCACCGCTGGTGGAACAGTATCAGCGATCTAATTATAAAATAGTGTCGTGAGCATTAAAATGGTGACTGTTACTTTCTGGAGCCACAATATCGTTACCATGAAGTGTAAAAAAAGCACCGGACCCAGAATTGACCCCTGAGGGACACCTTGCGTTCACGGCTAAAGGGTCCGACTGGACACTCTCTTGTCATCCTTTGTCAACAACGGGTCTTTCTCTCCATAGGACAACGACGTGGATGCCATCCACCCGGGCTACGGGTTCCTGTCAGAGCGCTCGGACTTTGCTCAGGCCTGCGCCGACGCGGATGTGATGTTTGTCGGACCGACTCCGGAAACGGTCCGCAAGATGGGAGACAAAGTGGAGGCCCGCACCCTCGCAATCAGCGCCGGTATGTAGACAAAGGGAGTGTGACCGACAGTCTCTTGATAATGGAAGTCCGTATGGATGCCGGGCTTGTTTCTACGTAACGCGTCGCTCGTGCTCGTCAAGGTGTACCCGTAGTCCCGGGAACAGACTCCCCCATCAGCAGTCTGCAGGAGGCCCACGCCTTCGCCCAGAGCTACGGCTTCCCCATCATCTTCAAAGCGGCCTACGGAGGCGGCGGCCGAGGCATGCGGGTGGTCCGAGAGTACGAGGTGAGCCCTTCCGATCCCCTTCCGGACAAACTTGCGCTTTATATTCATGACATTTCTGTTTTGTGGCGAATTGCGAGGATATGATGACCTGGTCGTTTATATATCCGCAGCTGCCACTCACCTCCTACTAGCCGGTCTGCCGTCTGAAATTGCCTCAAGCGTGCATGGCAGCTAAAACATTGAGAGCAATTTTCTGTGTGCCCAGGGTCCTATTACCAGAATGTATTGTCACACTTTTCACATGTGTGGAATGTCTGCCTTATTTCCCACAGAAGTAATGTTTACCGCAAAAACAACCTTGGCAATATCCAAATGTAAATCTCCAGCGATGATTGACACATCCACTTCCCTTTGCTAATGCTGGCCTGTCTTCCTCTTTGCACTTTTTTTTCCCCCCTCCTCAAGTTGCAGCCATTTCCTTTTGCATCTTATGAAAACTAATTGAGTTTTCTTTCCCCCTTGTCGATGGCGCAAGGCACATTTTCGCATAACAGAGTCAATGCGGAGTGACGCATTGTTTCCCCCCCCCCTTTGCTGCAGGTGGGACTAATGCGGCTTCTTTCCTCAACCCCGCATCGCTTTCATGTCCTTCTGGCGTGCGGCTGTCTCTGAAATGTGCAACTCAAATGTTCAAATGACCTTCCGCAGGCGCATCCACGCCCTCGCGCTGTCGCTGCACACTATTTTCACTGAGAGCCTGCAACCAGCTTCTTATGCTCCCAATGTTTTTTTTTTTTCATCCTGTTTCTCAAATTTGGCCACGTCCAGCTTTGTTTTTCTATCCAGTGAAGAGATCACTTCATTTTTGGTTGCGATCACTGAAAATGACAGCGACAGTGACCGTTTTGACAGTCACGGCGAGAAAGTCCAACAAACACACTGTGCAAAAATGCTTTGAAATGCTGCATACTGTCTCTGCAGTGGCGTCTTGAGTCACAAGTAACCCAACTCGGAGGTTTTTCGACAGACGGGTCACCATTTTTGCTTTGACTTGCGAGCCAGAAGTGGAGACAAATAGTATATTATGCACACAGGCATGGCTTCATTATCGTCTACAAAGAATGACTGATATTTCTGCAGGCGACAGAGGAGCTGAAATGTCTCCACGTGTTGAATCTGCATGTCCGTATTGTTCTTTGGAGGCACCTCAGGGCTCTAGACTGAGACCAATTTGGGTGCTCAAACACAAAAAAAAGTTGCACCGGTGCGACCAGCCTTTCGAGCGACATTAGTGAGTGTCTGTGCCAAAGTTTTAATGTTTGCTCAAGTCAGATTTTTGTCACCAGGGTTCTGTTCTACTACTACTACTACTACTATTATTATTTTTTAATTTACCTCAGACATTTTATTTATGGTTTCACATTTTCTTGAGGTAACAAGTTATTTGCCTTTGCAAATAGTATACTCGATTAAACATGCTCTATCATATCAGCAGCAGCAAAAAAACAAAAACAATATTATCGTTGATTATGATAATTTGGGGGAAAATATATCATTCTAAAAAAAAAAATTATTATTGTGACAGGCTTAGGTGAGTGACCAATGCCTTTCAGGTTTCAAGTGGAAATACGGTAGCTGCGGCAAATATATCATTCTGTGTTAAGATAAGATAAGATAAGATAAGATAAGATATCCTTTATTTGTCCCACACTGGGGACAAATAAAGGATATCTTATCTTATCTTTTTTTTATTAAATAAATTTATTATTATTATTATTATTATCTGTGATTTTATTAATTTAGAAAGTTGAAAATGGCTTGCTCCCTTTGATGATGCAGTATTAATGTTTGAATAAAGATGCTGTTTTTATGGTCTCCTGAAAAGCCAGCATTTTGGAGGTACGAGGATTGTGCCCGACGCCACCGATTATGCAATATATGCAGCATCCATACACACCCAAATAGTGCAACGCCGATACAAACTCCTCTTGAAAGATGTTGCCTTCACCCAATACGCCGCTTCTCGATTTCATTGCTCTTGTGCGAAAAAAACCCACTTTGTTGTTCACTTTTTGTGCCATCTGACGTTTTAGAACCTTTTCAAATATTGGCTGTTGACATTTGTGACTGTTGAGTCTCAGGAGCTCGAGTGGTGGAGGCGCCCATCATGTGAATACTGCACCTTTTCAAAAGCAACAACTTGACTTCTCGAAATAAATAAACAAACAAAAATAAAAGCGCCAACAAAATCCAGTTTCTCCACATCATAGAGTCCATTATGGGCCCAAGAAGTTCTCTTGTTCATTGGCTCAAAGTTTGGGCTGGCGCCGATGACGCACGACGCAGCCTTGAGCACCCACTCGATTTGCCTCTCTTTGAGACGACTCGCGTATCCTCCTTTGAGGCAGGAAAAGTGAGTCACCCCCTACCCCCTTTTTTTTGCCCCCCGAAGCAGGGGGCAACACCATGGGCCGGCAATTTGTCGCAGACTGACAACACAGATTGAGTCATGCCCTTGACTTGCCCTCGTGCCTCGTGTGTGCCGTTGTCTCCCCATGGCTTGTTTGCAACAAATTCTGTGCCGGCGGAAGAAAAGACAAAAAAAAAGGCACGGGACAAACTGCACCATGTGGATTTGACAAATTGTGTGAGATCTCAGTGAGGTTTTTGAACTCAAAACGGTAGCCAACAGTCAGCGAGGTGCAGAAGTTGAAGTTTTGATTGCAAAAAAGTGTGAGGAAATGTACGCGGCGGACTTTTTTTTTGCCTCCTTTACCGATGCTTATGGATTTCTGTGCTCTATTTGTCAGGAACTTGAGGAGAATTACCAGCGGGCCTACTCGGAAGCGCTGACTGCTTTCGGCAATGGCGCTCTGTTTGTGGAGAAGTTTATTGAAAAACCAAGACATATTGAAGTGCAGATCCTCGGTAAGTGCACTCGGACACATGTGGGCAGTTGCCACAGTTCCCTTGAAAAAGGAGCTTGGTTACCTTACTGATGACTTGAAAAGTCACTTTGATTTCTTGATTTGTAACGTTCAACAGATGCCGATAACCCCAACTAACATAAAATATGACAGTTTTTAGATTTTTAACTGTGGTATTGAAAACCAATTTTTCTTTTTAATTACAAAGACAACCATTGTCAACTGTTTAATTTTTTTTTAGGCAGTTTTTTTTTTTTTTGCCCTGACATATTTTACTGTTCAAATTGTCATGACAACTTTCACATTTATCATGTACATTGTGTATAAATATAATGATGACATTTTAGGGACCTCATGCGGTCATGCAGCCTTGTGGGTCTTTCTCTTGAAGCTCGAATGTTCCGCAATACATTTTTATTTTTCTTAAATTTGAAAAAAAAAAAAAATCACATACGCCTATGATTGTTGAAGCTAGATAATGCTTTGTCGACAGCACAGACTTTCTTCAGCTAAGACAAACTCCAAAAAAATTGTGACTTTATTTCCAGTTTGTGAATGTGAATCTGTCTGCTTCCTCTATTGTTATTTTCCCATGTGGTCAAAAACATGACACGGTGCACGCGTGACCTATTGTCCCACAAACACATGGAAGGTAAAACCATGATTGAAAACTGATCTGAATCTGATTCGTGTTCGTGCGTTGTCAAATGTCACTCACTGCTGCCCCCAAGAGGCAGTGAATGGCACCGCCACTTAATAATGAACGACGAGTGGGCGTTAGCTTACTGTTTAGCTGATTTTCGCCACTGTTAATTTCCATACAGTAACGAATTGTGACTTTACGAAGTAACTGTCGTCAGACTACTAAACTGAGAGAAGTAGAACATTGGAGTAGTTGTTCCTGTTCCATTGACACCAAAGTATGACAGTGGTTCATTTTTTTTAACAAAACTCACTCACTGAATTATATTTTCACTCGTTAGTGTGTAAATAACACAAAACTCCGTAATGCAGCGCGGCTCCCGTGGCGTGAGGAACCAGGCCCGGTATTTACAACACTTATAGATTTGTTCTCAAGCTATTTTCAACACCATAAATTGGTTAATAAGGCGTAAAAATAACGCCGGCACAGACCAATAGTATCGATTTGTGGAAAAAAATATAAATTATACCCCTGGGCTTTTTCTGGAAATGACTTGTTGTGACTATAATGTGAGTCACAGCACCACCTGTTTATAAATGTATCAATGTTTTTTTTTTACAGTTGGAGGATTGGGGGGGAGAATAGTTTTCTTTTGTCACGTTTGGACTTGTGTGTCTCCACAGGAGATAAATACGGTAATGTCATCCACCTCTACGAGAGAGACTGCTCCATTCAGCGGCGCCACCAAAAGGTGACTTTCTCACACCGTCGACGGCGTTTCTGTGGGTGGTCACGCTCGGCAGAGAGGTCTCACCTTCCAGCGCGGCGACGAGGATAAATCGGCCTAATCGGCTTTTGTCTATCAGCCGTGCGTCTCATTAGGGAACATATTCATACTTGAGTTGATTATGATAACGGAGATTACGGCGTGCGTGTGTATGCGTGTGTGTGTGTCGTAGGTGCCAAGAGGATAATACAGCAATGAAAATGCCCTAATGCTGTTATCGGCATCCGCGGCATTTAAAGCACCATGCGCCAAATCAACTCTGCTCTTTGAATTATCTGGGAATTAACGCTCGCCCCTTTAGGCGGCGCGGCGCTCTTTGCGTCTCTCCTAATGAATTAGCTGTTTTCGCCTCGTCTTATGAAATGAGCAAACATGCGACGGAGCACCAAGTGGCGCGTCATCATATATGCCGCATGCGTCACCCTCGCGTTTCATCAGCGTCGCCGCTGATCATAGAAACGCGCCTGCTTGTTTTTTTGCGAGCTACTACTGCTCCTCGTTGAGCCGACGTGACTTGATCTGCATTTGGCCTAAATCTAAAGTCTTTTTTTTCCCTCTCCCTCGCTCACATGAAGAGTCGCCTGTTGGAATAGATTTGGAATGCTGGAGTACGGATGGGATATTTTTAGTCCCTCTGTCTCAGAAGTGAAATTCATACTGGGTAGAGGAGGAGGAGGAGGAGGAGGAGGAGGAAAAGATGAGATACGAAGGCTAATTGACTTCCTACTGTGTTTTATTTGAGTTGATTTATTTTTGGGTTCCCACTTGAATTTCCTTGGGTTAGTTAGCTTGGCCCGTAGCCCCTGGCCAATTGTTGCATTGGCACAAATACTTTTGAGCTAGCTTTTTCAAGCTCCCCACTTAAAAAAAAAAAGTTGTTGTTTGCTCTTAGATCATGGTAAGGAAAGTGACCAAATAGGGATTTATTTCTCTCAGTGGCCACTGTTCAAAGTTGCTGTAAGATGTTAGCTTGATGCTAACGCTGTGCGCGCTTTACAGGTCGTGGAGATCGCACCGGGTTTCCAACTGGACCCTCAGCTGAGAAACCGGCTTCATTCGGACGCTGTCAACCTTGCCAAATTGGTAGGTGTCTCGCAGTTTTTTTTTTTTTTTTTTTAAATAGCAATCAAGTATGCATCACAATAGCAACTACAAACTGCGTGTCGTGATGGTGACAAAAGATGGAGTCCACGGAGTGAATGAGGAGTGCCATGCAAAACAAAGCCCCTGACGTTTACCGGTAACTCGGGTGACGTGGTGAGTCGGTGTCGGTGTGTGTGTGTGTGTGTGTGTGTGTGTGTGTGTGTGTGTGTGTGTCCAGTCTTATTTTTTTTTTTCCATAGCCTTTTCCAAAGGCATCATAGCATTTGAATTGCAGTCCCCCAAACTATTTGCATTTTGCCAAACAAGCGTGCGTGCGAGTGGACTTGAAATATATGGAAATAAAATTTGTCGAGTGCTTTTGAAATCAACTCTCAATATCATCCATCCTCCCTGACTTTCGCCGAAAGTAGCTGTGACAACATCATTTGAAGGGGGCCGGGGGGCTCAAGGAGGAGATTTCATGCAGATCGCAGACGAAGAAAAGGACAAGGGAGAGAGAAGATCTTATGTAAGAGGGGCTGAATGCAAACTGGCCAAAGATGATTATTGTTAAGGATGCTTATATAGTGGCAAGACCGATTTTCTCTGTTGATCTGGACTTTTTTATTTTTTTCCTGTAGTGGAGACTCTTTGAACACGTTTGGGACGTCTTCTTGAAAGCCAAATGAAGAATTTTTATTCCTTAAAAATCTTAATAAGGTCTTAGAAACCGATTACCGACCCAATCACAATTCATGGTTCAAAAAAGTATGAATGCTTTTAAATCCAGGTTAAAACTATGCTCATTTCCCATACCTATGATGAAGCCTTAAAATCACATTTAACCGCTCATTAAGTCAAAGACTTAATGACGCCCATACTGTATTGTACGGCGCCTGTTGCCAGCGTTTAGTGGCGGCTGCGCTTGTGGCTAGCAGCACTGGCAACAGCTGTCATCTTACTTTTCAAAGGCAGTTTATTAGACGTAAATGATTCTGCACAATTTGATGCTGATACTCTGACACAGTTAACCAAATTACACAAAGTCACAGAGAAAAAAAAAATTAGACTGATTTTGGGGCAGCGTATTATACACAAAGGATTTTACGATATGGATAATAAATCTCTTCATTGTCATGCAGGTTAATTTATTGCTTGTGTATGTAAGACTTTGACATACTAAACGCATATTTAATCATTGTTAAATTTAATACTAAATTCAATTTTCAGAATTGTTTTTTTTATGGAGGCTTGCTACTTGTTTTGGGAAATCTGGTGAAATAATCCTTATTTTTTTTCTAAATAAGTACCCTCACTGCATGTACTTCCAAGTTGATAACAGCTTGCAAATGAGAGTGAAAGCACTTTTGGGAGGACACGGGAAGCCTTTTGCTTCAGCGTCAAATCTCTCCACGGGTATTGAAAGCTGCTCGCTCCCTAGCAACGGTCAACTTCGATTGTGCGGCGCCCAAAACAAAACAGCGAGATGCTCTTCAGCAGAAAATTGTGCTCAAGCATCTTCTTGCAACGCCTCCGAATGAATAAATTGCTCAGATATGTATGTGCTGAGTAACCCTGTGCAATTGTAGCCTTTTCATGTTAATCAGCATCACACTGGGAAGTAATGACATGCTCTTTGCAACATCAACCTGCTATTGTGTCTTGCACTGTGGTCTTGATGCTGGCGACAGGCACTCAGTCTCCCTCGATGCCCCCTTTTTTTTTCTTTTTTCTTTTCAATCCTTGTTGCTCACCGGAGGTTGGATATTCCGCTATCATTTCAGCAAAGTCAACGCCAGGCTTTGGGTTGTGACCGCGAGTGCACGGCAAACGATTGACACCTAGCCGGTCACACTTTTGTGTTTCTGATTGATGGTGTCTGAAAAATCAAGCTTTATACTCACAGTTTTAACGAAATTGCTAAAAGATTTTTTGTTTGTTTTATTTTGGGGGAGCGGGGAATTGCACATACCTGTTTTTGTTCAATTTTTCAGTCATCCTTGACGTATAAACTCGACGTTTGAAAACCGATATCTCCACCTCTTACGCTTTTCGCTATCAAATCACAACAAGAGATGCCCGTCCATCACTCTGTTTCAAGGATGACTTCCTAAATTGTTCATGTATTGCTTAATTAGTCGTAATGATTAGTTTAGCTTGGATAAATGCACTTGTGTCTGATCCCCGTGTGCATAAGAATAGGCAGGAACGCCCATGTGTGCAGTGAATATTGCCGCGACAAGATGAAATGATTTCGCAGTCAGAGAGGATACGCTTCACGCAGGTGACATTAAAAACAAACGTCGTGCGGAGTATATTTTGAATGAGTGCAAAGTGGGAGATGAGCTTAATTAGCCAGTGGCGGATCTGCTTTCTCCCTTTGCGGCGCAGGCGGGGGCGTTGTGTGCGTTCTGTCCATAGTGCGAGCGGAGCCCAAGCTTGTAAATGAAGCCGCCGAGATACCGGACCAAAGCAGCACTTGGTTCACAATATTATCAGAGCTTTGGCACCCCCCAACCCCCAACCCCCCAACTCATTGCGACTTTTGAACTTCAGTACATTTCAGAGTCAGTGCGTCTGTATCTTTCCTTAAGTACAAGAGTTGAATCAGTACTCGTAAAAATTGTGAGCGTGAGTACTTTTACCACCTCTGATCCCTTGCGCGTTGCCTCCAAATTCTTCAGATCTTTTCTCATTGGCGATCACTTGCACACATGCACGCTTGCAATTTGTACATTGCGCTCACGGTTGTGTGTGAGTAAGCCAAAGCGCCTTTTTGCATGCAAATGCTGGCGGATACCCTCGCAGAAAAAAAAAAAAGCAACGCTGTGAAGTAATTTCATGCCTGTGTAGTTCCAGACAGCGCAGATCGGCGCTGATAAAAGCATTCTCATGCGCAAACATTTACACCAAGCGTCTGGAGATGCGGTAGAAGCCGAGTAGATTTTTGTGCTGACTGGCTTTTGACAACTCATTAGTCGCTTTTTGTTTCTTCTATGAAATGTTTTGAGAAGAAGCTTCTCGCCAGTGTTTGGGTGGCTTCGCTTTGCGGATGCACTGAGTGTTGTCTCGTTGAAATCGACTCCCAATCCATCTTAACTTGGCACACGGTACGGTGAACTCTACCACGCTGCCATTTGTAGCATAGATGCTACAATCAAACTTCCAAACCACTGCGTGTAGGCATAAATCGATCAGCGCAAAAAAACAAAATTGAAACAAATACCCAGTGAGGCCGAACATGACTGGATGCTTTCGATGGAAAAGTTGACTATATTTTTCCTACTATATTCCTAATGTTGATTCAGTGATGTGTCAAAATTCTGCGGTACAGTGCCAACTACTGTCAAGGAGGACTTAGTCGATATAAGGCCTTTTTTTTGGGGCCTTAATTATCGGTGGCTGGTTTTGGCAGCCTCCACGAGTATCTGATACCTTAAATTAAAGCGAGTATTGGCCTGATACCGATACCTGATGTCAATACTCTGCCATCCTTAGTTTGGCCATCGCGTGTTAAGTCAAGTTATGGCGGGCTTGATTTACACTACATTTTTAAAACTTTATTATTTTTTTAAGAGCCTTCCTTCTTTTCACCATTTTGGACGCGGCTTTGGCAGCAAATGTCTGCGGTGCTTTCAAGTGCCGATCGTGATGGAGAGTTTGCCAGCTCTTGGAGTCCGTCTTTCATCCGAGAAGATCAAGCGTCTTTAAAAAAAACAAAAAAAAGGTTTTGAACTTTTCCTTAAAGTGAGCCCAAGCGCTACGAGCGCTCAAGAAATAAATAACAGGTGAACTTCATTGACGGGGACCGTGGTTAACATGCAAGGAGGCTCTTCGCAGATGTCTGCGGGCAGAAAAACAAAACGATCTGTCTAATTAGCTGAGTGTTCTGTCGGTGTGGATTCTTGCACGTTACTTTTATGTCAGTGAGGGCTCGCACAACCGCGCTGCGTTTAACCTTCAGACACAGCCGAGCGAGCTTAACCGTAATGATGCCTTGTTTGTTTTGCGTGACTTGTTTGTGCACCTTGATTCGAGGTTAACTCAAAAGTAAGCCTCCCTATACATGGAAAAGCCCTATAAATGCGTTCCAAGTGATAAATGACACCAAGCCCATAATAAGCCATTCGATGCAAAAGGCATGCAAACGAGCACATGTGGGTTGCAGGAAATGTAATGCCGAGCGTGTTGCGTTGACACCGAGTGTTTTGTATGTATAATCCACACATCACATATACATAATCAGGACACCCATCGTCTTGACTACCCCCCCCCCCACGTTTCCTCACTCTTTGTGCAGCGCTGTACACAGCCTGTGTTATGAAGGAGAAAACCTCATTTTTATACATTTTATGTCTCTAATATTGGCGCCGAGAATAGATTCCGTTGGCGCACGTGGCCGCGTGTGCCTGGCCATGTGTGCTCATGTGGCGCTCTGTGATCACTAGGTGGCTTTATTCCCTCCACTTTTTCATCATTTCACAGACAAGCAGCTCATTATGCTTCCATTAAAGTGCTGACGGCGCAGAAGGGGGATCTGGGCCAGCGAGAGAGCCGTGGGACCGAGGCGGGCACGTAATCGGGCTTCCAGGAGGAGAGCGAGTTGATACACCAAGCGCCTGATTTGCTCAAATCATAAATAGCAAGCGCTAAAATGCCATTGACTAAAAAGTAACCATATAAACAGGCAACGACTTTTATATGCTAGCTGCAAGGCGACAACTGACACCCACTTAACAAGCAGAATGGCTAATGGTTTGCCAGTTTGCAACTCGCTGCTATCCTGAGTCATCAACAGCATTGACTCCTACGTCGCTCCGGGCCTCGCCTTTTTAATTCGAATTTTTAATTAGCATTTACCTCAAAATCCATATCAACTCAACTCAACTTGATTTGAAGAGCACTTTTAAAAACAACCATGGTTGCATACAAAAAAAAAATCAGAGGTAGGTAGGTACGCCTGGATTGGAGTTATGTGCTCCCTCCAACGAGCTCCAGTTAGGAGGCGAGCCGCAGCATTTTGGACCAACTGGAGACGCTAGAGGGAGGACTGGTTGACTCCAGAATATAGCGCATTACATTAACCCACCAATATGTTTCAAAGGTATGGATTACTTTTTCTAAATGTTGTCTTTGAAAGGAGAGACTTTACTTTAGCCAGCTTCCTAAGATGAAAACAAAGCAAAACAATTTGCCAGTCAAATTTTAAATCGATGTCCAATTTAAAACCCAAATTCCAGACTACCGGCTTTAGGTAAGATGCCAGTGGGGCAAAGTCAACAGGGTGAGCGAAACAAGGCCCACTGGGAGCAAACACCATCACCATGTTTTCCTCTTGCTGAAGTTTACAAAGTTTTGTGCCATCCAGACATTGATTTGCCCCAGGCAGGGCAAAAGTAGCCTAAAGGAGAAAGCACTCTTTTTTTTGCTTAGCGAGACATTGATATGACTGTTATGCACTTTAAATTAAAGGAAATTCCATGCTTTCTGAAGATGGAACCCCAGGAGCAACCAATACAATGAAAACAGCAGGGGCCACAAAGTTGAACCCTGTGGAATCCCATTTGACACTGGGGCAGATGAGTGACTAATGTATACTTGATGCACATAGATTAAGTTAAGCACATGCAATGTGATTTTTCAAATCTGAGACTAATTGCAGTGGCTGATTTGGGGTGTTTATTTTCAAACCTGCAGCAAAGTCAGAAAATGTCAGCTTTGAATGTAAAACAGGTAAAGGCTATGAAGCAAGGATTAAAAAAACACGCTTTTACATGGTGACTTTTTACAGTGTCATTAATTAAATTGGTTTGGTGCTCCTCTTCCTCTCTCGGTACGTGAAGTTATTGCTCTACTTGGAGGCATATTTTTCCCCATTAATTGATAGTTAACATCCATTTTTATGAGCCCTCAATGTTGCACTTGGCCTATATATGACACATTAATATGGATGGAATTTCAGAGACTGCAACCACAGAAGACGGCTCTCGTCTTTCCTCTTTACCTTCTCTGGATCCACTTTACAGCTTCATTCCAGCCCTCTTGTAAAATATTTGTTCCCCTCCCCGTCCCTTCCTCCTTCTCTTGCTGAACAATATGAGTACAGTGGTAGCTCCGCTTATGAGTAACCCGGTCAGCTGACTTTTGCAAGTTATAGGGCATCGCTGGGCCTAACTGAAACACATTACCTTTCTTCGAAAATTCCACTAGCTTAATGCTAACACTCAGTGCAAAACGGCATAGCCAGGCTAATGAAGGTAGCGTTGATGTTGTGGTGAATATAACCCAACTGTGTAAGCTGCGCCACAGAAAAAAAGAAAAATCTTTTATATGCTGTTTGACTTATTAAATCAACATACCATAAGTCAAGGAACGACTGTGTTATGGTCCGTAGCCTCTCCTTTGGAACTCAGATTGTCTTTTTTCCTACCGTGTCCATGCATTGCTCCCTTGCCATCTGTCCATGTGTGACCTGAAAACCGCTTCACCACATTTGCAACACTTTTTAATTAGATTTCACGGAGAGGTAGCAGTGAAGACACTATTACCATTATTTTTGGACCTGTAGTCATCAAGGTGTGGAAAAGTGTGTGCGTGCTTGTCTTTGGCGGCAGTAAAATGGGTGAGAAAGGTCCCACGACCGAAATGGAGCTGATGTATTGGTATGTGTGTGCGTGTTCACGCTTATATCAACTATGAATCAGACCAGAATTGTCTGTCCAAAGTCCGAGCGGGAATTGGATAAGATTGGGGAGAATCCCGGCGCCATCTTGACAGCGGTTCTCCCCAGAGAAGAGAGAGACAGTTTTTGCAAGGGAACAAAGTTGCCGCAAACTCATGCCGCCTTTCACTTTTTTAAAGATGCTCCCGTGTCTCGCCCCAGAATTGGAAATGAAAAGGAAGCGACACAGTGGCAATTTTCCGGTTCACGCCATTTCCCGCTCAGCACGAGCGAATGAAAGGCACGAGCGGCGCGCAAAAGCCTTTCTGGCCTCAGAGCGCATCGCCACTTGATTTTGTTTGATTATGTCTGGAAAAGGAGTGACGCTTTTGTCGAATGTTCTCGCTGGGGATTTGGAAAGAGACTTTCAACTGGAGTGCCGTTCCCGACATAGCGAGACAACATTATTAGAAGCATTCTTTTGGCTTCACCACATTTTGCACATCCTCATCAAAACGCATTTTAAATATTCAGTGTAACCTTGCAAAAAGAAGAGCGCTAAAAATAAAACGCGAGAGTAGAATACGCCTTGAGAGAACTGACTCTACCCTGAATGATTAAACTCCACATTACGCAAACACAAAGTAGAAAATCGAGGACATGAGGGGCAAACGGTTACAAGCCAGCCTCTTGTTGTATGAATGTAGTTCTTTGAGTTACTTTTTCAATGGTTACGTTTTGTTTGAAGTATACTGCGAAGCTAAACTGCGCTAACTGCCATTTCAATGCCAAATGTCACGTTTTCATCAAATCAACGAAAAAAAAATCTATCTATCTATCTTTATCTAGATATAGATGTACTGTATATATCTGGAAATATCTATATATCTATATCTACATCTATCTATCTAGAGCTATATAGATATAGATAGATATTTATAGATATAGATATATATCTGCGATTGGCTGGCAACCGGTATTTGTGTGTGTGTGTGTGTGTGTGTGTGTGTGTGTGTCTATTACATGTATGTATGTGGCGACAAAAGGTTTCCATTCATATTTCGTGTCTCGGTTTGGACTAAAATGTAACAAAAACTCCCCAAAACGTTTGATGTGGTGTTTCCCCCGTCCCGACTACTAAACTAGTTTTGCGCTCGTCTCCGTCCTTGGAGTTCAAAGACTGGAGGGATTGTTATGCTTGCCGCCACTCGTCTTCTGTTTGGATTCCTCGCCTGTACGTCCTTACGGAGAAAGGTTGTGAGAAGGTGCTGAGAAGCACGAGCAGATGCACATAGCCTAATTGCAAATGTCTGTGCTATGTTTAAAAAAAAAAAAAAAAATGGGTGGGGGGAATTTGCACATCCTCATCCTCAATTTGGTGATAGTGCTGCGCTCACAAGATTCAAGCCAACGCTGGAAATGAGACAATGTGCAGCGGCGGCAGAAAATGGCGACCGCGCAGAGGAAAAATAATGCTGTGAGCATCTCCCAAAACTGCCAGCCCGATAGTTTTGCATAAGGCGGCAGTAAACAAGCACTCACCGTGAGCGCCTGGAGTTTCCGAGGCACATTGTCCCTGTGAATTGGCACCAAGTGCACTCGGAAACAAACAATGTAAACAAAAGTATTTGACCGGGTGATCACTGAGCACATTCAGTCGGCTGAGACCACTTCTGGTCCGGTTTTGTTCAACACCTTTGAGGACAGACGAGCGATAATATGATTGACATTCGTTCATCATGTTGATGGTCATGCCGCTGTTCCAACAGATGTTTGGCTCTTCTTCACTTTTCGAATAAGAACCTTTGGAGCCTTTTGTAAGGCAACAAACGCTGTCCTCTGCTGGTTCGAGTTAGACATTGCACTCCGTTTTCCACAATATTGCGATTTACAGTGTTCCCTCACTTATCGCGGTTAATGGGGACCGTGACCCTGCCATGATAAGTGAAAAACCGTGAAAAAGGGTTGCCCCCCCACCATATAAATAAAGCTGTGTTGTATTGTATTCCCTTTAGCATAGCTCCATCTAGTGGACGCATAACGCAACCGCAGCCACTACTGCAGCTTCTGTTCTATGCACCTTATCAAGTGGTGCGCCCTATATATGAAAAAAGTTTTAAAATAGGTCATTCATTGAAGGTGCGCCTTATACCCCGGAGCGCCTTATAGTACGGAGAATATGGTATATTTATATGTGTAAAAATATAGTGAATTGTTTTCATTAAAATGACCCAACTTTGAGAATTCACGTGTTCACGCTTACAAAAATAAAGATATGAAGTACAGACCTCCCCAAAAAAATTATCCAATTTTGAACAAGCTAATATCGGCTAATTACATCGTCTGGTCCCGAGCTTTGGGGGATCATGAAACAAATTGAACTTGTATGTCAAAGCAAAATGGTGTTGCCCGTCGACTTGCCTGTCGTCGCTTGTCAAGCAGTGACAAATTAGTCTGTTACACTGATTCACTTAGACACGGTGAGAGCATGTGTGTGTGTGTGTGTGTGTGTGTGTGTGTGTGTGTGTGTGTGTGTGTGTGTGTGTGTGTGTGTGTGTGTGTGCGTGTGTGTGCGTGTGCGTGTGAGCACGATGGCCTTGTGTGTGAAAGCTGATATAGACTCGGCCTTGAGCATTATGTATCCATCATCATTAGTGTGAGGGGTGCTGGTGATGGTGCTCCTTTTTGTTTGGCGGGCACATTCGTTTCGGTTATCATCCTCAAAGTGAGGATGATTCATTGGAGTCAGTGTGCCACCAAGTCTCTAATTTTGACTTTTTGTAAAAACAACTGTGGCACTTTTTTAATCCCCATAAAAAATTAACAAGTCGCTCACTAGTTTAAAAAAAAAAAAAAAAGAAAAAAAACGAAGTTAGTTTTGCTTTACTTTTTAATTACATCCAAATAAAGACTTTGTCTTCCGTGAAGCCCTGTCCCGGATTTGCTGTTTTTGAGCCTGTCGAGTTTATTGAAGTTTCTTTTTATGTGTTGAATGTATAAGTACAAAGTAAATAGGTCTACTTTTGGCAGTGGGAATTCTACCCTTTCCATTCTTTTTTTTGTTACCACCTTTGTTGATTTCTTTTCTTTTTGGCATTGAATTCAAACTGCCAAGAGCAGAGGAAGCAAAAGTATACCCTGATTTTAGCAAGGGGGCAACACAGAATCAGCGCTTTTCTTTTCCCGCAGGTGGGCTACGAGAACGCGGGGACGGTGGAGTTCTTGGTGGACAAACACGGCAAACACTACTTCATCGAAGTCAACTCGCGGCTTCAGGTGGAGCACACGGTGACAGAGGAAATCACGGAGTGAGTACAGCGAGATTTCGCTTAACTGCTACTGGGTAGGGCTGAGATATATATATATATATATATATATATACACCAAAAGCCACCGTTGAAGGATTGCTGCATTTATTTGGAGCTTGAAGCCCATTTGAATTGGCCCGAGAGGAGTCGCGTCCTGCATGAAGTGGCAGAGGGTGGACGTCATCTCGTTTGCACAGACCGCCTTTACACAGGCAAAAGTCCAGCCCCCCGGTAGCCAGTGACAGATTATGCCCACAGGCGGCAGGGGGATGGGTGATGAGGGGAAGGGGGGGAAGGGGGAGGGAACGCATGAAATTGTGAAAAAGTATGTTTGGTAAATTTGTACTCCAAGCCCATTAGTCCTCAGGCTTTTCCCAAGGCGGCTCTATCAAACTCTCTGTGTGGTACCACCGAACTTCACAACATTTTCATGCCAAAAAAAGTGAAAGCCTCCCTCTTGTCCTATATTCCTGGATCCCACTTCACACCTTTTCTCTGCATCCCTTTCCTCATTTCAACTCGCTCCTCTCCAGACTGGCAGAGATTAAAAAAAAAAACTAGTCCCCTCCCCGGACTGCAGGTGGGCTTGTGAGCCCCTAAAGTCATTCTTGAAAGCCCCTTCAGTCAGTGTTTGATCAACAAAGCCCCGCTGTATTTGCTGGAGATTGCATCTGCCAGTTTCCCTGGCATCCTCACAGCAGGCCTTGTGGATGTGTGCCCTCGTTGAGCTCTGCTGCTGGGTCTCGTCTATTTCTGCCTTCCGCTGAGAAGACCAGCTTGAACTGAGCTCGTTTTTAGCCCGCTTGGAATGTCTCACTGGAGGTCGCTCGGCCTCATCCCGCTCGGTGCCCGCCCATCCATCTCACCGTTATCACTGCTGTCACATGTGATGCCCCCTCATGCTATCATTGGCCCGCTCATTCATCTCCCCTCCTGATCGCGTTGTCCCGAACCTCACCTTTGCCTCGTTTGCTCCACGCCATGATTCATATTGCTCTGTCCCCATTGGCAGCCTGTCCCTCCCCCACTTTTTAATTCGAGCCTTTAGAATCACAATCAGAATAGTTGAATTCTCGTCATAGCACAGCGAGCAAAGAAACGGAGCAGACACAACCCGTCCAAGAGATGTACAGTAGGCAAACAGTGACCGGCAGGGGGATACAGAACGGGAGTTTGCCGGATCTCCTTTTAAAGCGCACCATTTTCACAGAAGAAAGGAACAATAAATCAACCCCAGACTTAGCTCCTGTACGGGGGAGCAAAGCACGGATTTGGAGGGAAAAAAAAAAAAAAATCAGAACGCAAGCATACATTCATACAAGACGGACAGAGTAGTACAGGTGGAGGTGGGGTGGGCGAATGTCACGGGGCGGACATTGCAGCCCTCATGTAGAGGGCAGCCTTCAGGGCGCCGCCACGTCCCATTCTGCAGTTGCGCCATAATAGAGGAAAAGAGCCGAGTTGGTGGGGCAGCCAACAAGCGCTTTGATATCTCGGGTTGTGTTTTGCATTTGCGTGTGTCTTGCTTTTGTGTGATTAAAGGCCGTATCTCACTGAGCCGCGAGATTTGAGGAGTGTCTGCAAACGGCCCGAATGTCGATTTTCCGATTCGCAATTATCCAGTGCACTTGCGACATGCGTTTGGCTAACTAGCTATGGCTACATTCTAATCTTCCCTTCAGATAGTCCACTGGCGTAACCGCTTTACAGTGCTTCGTTGTCTGCCACGAGTGCGCGCAGGTCACAGAGAGGTGGCGCAAGACCCACAGAGAAGGAATCCTCGCACGTCACAGTGCTTCCACAGCTTCTATCGCCACACTAGTGGCACCCGCAAAAATAATAGAGAGTAGGTGGGATACCGTTTTGCGTAATCGGGAGAAAGGAACCAACATCTCTCGCTCACAAATGGAAAAATCCACCCTTGTGTTGACAGCTGTTGATGTCCAAAGGCTCTCCCGTGCTAATACCTTTTCATCTGTCTTCCTGCTCTTCTCAAGTGTCGCACAATCCAGTCCATTCTCCTTGATGTGCGCGTGTGTAAAAGAGAGAGAAAAAAAATCTGCGTGATATTTAATCCCACAGGCATTCAATTTATGGTGTTTGAGTGGCAGACGTGTGAGCAGCATTAAGAAAACAAAACAGAATCAGTAAGCCTGCCTCCGTATCAAACTCTTCTTTTTTTTTTTTGTCTCCTCTCTCATTTTGTCCTTAATTTAGCCGTGAGTAATCTCTGCGTTGCTCTCGTGTGAAGAGTGCGTGAGCGGGCTGTGCTTTCCATGGCGAGCCCTTCAGATGCTCAGCTCGATCCAACTCAGGCTTGCCTTTGTGTGTAAAAAGTGTGGTGCAAAATATTGTCTCAATGTACAACGTATTCATTGTGTGCTGCCAGGAGAGATCTTTCTCCTGGCAACACACGACGAGACCTCGGGGGCTTGGACAGTCACGGTTGCGTTTTCTTGTCGTTAACCATCAGGGCCCGGACAACTTGCTCTGCTGCATGTTAAGAGACTGCAAACAAGTAGACGAAACGGAAGCATATTAACATCTTCATCAGTATGAGAGCGCGGAAAGAAAGGGTGAGCAAATCTGCATTGAAGGAATGCGATGAATTCATTGAGACGCACATGTGACGGACTCGTCCGTCACATGAATAAACCATGACGCTGTCGCACCCTAATCTGGATGTAGGCCACTTAGCTGAATTGTGTTCAGGGCTGATGATCATCATCATGCCGTTCATGCGTGCGCAAGTTAAAAGTGATTAAATGTCAACTTTGAATCGGCTTGAAGTGCTTTCTATTGACACGCTTTATTGATGGCTTTCACATCGAGTCGGCGCGTATCCCTCCATCATCGTGACAAGTAATACGGTCCAGTCCTTTTATCGCGGGGATCGTTTCCCCACTCACCAGGAATAGGTGAAAACCTGCAATATACATATATACCGTAATTTCTGGACTATAGACCGCACCTGATTATAAGCCGCACCACAACATTTTTCAAGGAAAAAAATATTTTGTACACACATAAGCCGCACCTGCGTATAAGCCGCAGGTGCCCATATTGTAACATGAGATATTTACAAAGAAAGACGGTACACAGGCGGCCGTTAGAAAAGTCTTTATATAAGCCGCTTCATGAAATAAGCCGCAGAGTTGAAAGCGTGTGACAAAAGTCGCGGCTTATAGTCCGGAAATTACGGTGTGTGTGTGTGTGTGTGTGTGTGTTTGTATGAATGTGTATATATTTATATGTGTGTGTGTGCATATGTTTGGGTATATATGGATAGATGTGTATGTATATATGGATATACCTGTATGTGTCTGTATGTATGGATATATGCATGTGTGTGTGTGTGTGTGTGTGTGTGTGTGTGTGTGTGTGTGTGTGTGTAAGTAATATATGTGTGTGTGTGTGTGTGTGTGTGTGTGTGTGTGTATTTATGTATGTATGTATATTATGTATATATATATATGTGTATGTTCAGGATTTTCAAGCAAGAAACATTTTCTGTACGACCCAGTGCAATTACAGAAGTATTGTTGCAGGCTCTCACTGCAGCCAGTACGTGCACATCTCCGCGGACTCATCCTACTTCGCACGTCTACGGTGGACTTGAGAGCGTGCAAGCCCATGCATTGCGATGTCGCGGCCGCACATTAGGCGCGCGCACGCCAACTAATTTGTCTCAAATGATTGCAGTCCTTCTCCATCAGAGCCACAAATGGTGATGGAGCGTCAGGAAGATGGAGAGATACATAGCATTCATTTACCAAAAAAAAAAAAAGCCTGGAAAAATGAGTCAGGTGTGCACGCAGGAGAGGAAGGAAGAGGCATGAGATGAATTGTAAAGAGGAGGTGAGTGACCGCAGGCTACTGTGGGAATATCATCATGAATAAGCGGGGCAAAGGTTTCGCTCTGCGTCAGTTCGATATGTTTCAGCGGATTTGAAGTTGCGGCATTAGTCCATGTCACGCATTCTCGTCTCCTCTCCACACTTTGTCCGCTTCTTTTCCCTTTTGTCACCTTTCCACATTTCCCTTGCATTGTACCGTCCTTCCAAGTGTCGATTCAAGCGGCCGCCATTCCCGCCGTTGTCCGGTCTCGTCTCACTCATTCCCTCTTAACCCCTTCTTCAGCCGTGCTCGCTGCTCCCTTTCTCTCCGATCTCATTTATTCATGTCGTTCATGGATAATTGAATGTGTTTTCCCGCTGCCATCTCAGCCTCGTCTTGGCCTTGGCCCTTCTTTAGTCCTCAGCGTCACGCCGCGCACGGCCAGCGCGCCGCCGCTCTCGCGTTTGCTGCGTGTTTGTTTTTGCATTTCTGTGTTGTTGACAAGCCGGTATACGCTGCAGCGGGCTTGATAATGATTACAACGATTGTAGCAGGGTTTGAGTCGCTCCTGTGGCGAATGGTAATTGTCCAAATCAGCCTTTATGTGCACGGATTGTCCTTCTGTAAGCACAGCTGTACGCCGCTGAGCACGGCGCATTCGCGTGCTTTTTGTGCGGCCGCGAAATAAATTTCAGGTGATTGTAATTGCGCAGTGGCGCGGCCCGGCGACTGATTAAGGAGCAAGCTGACGAACGACTGGAAAGGCTCGAACTGTGCGTGCGTGCGTGCGTTATGTATGATAATGACACAGATGCTTGTCACGATGATGCGCACGCCCGTCATTGTTTTGGATGGGGTGTTTTTGTTTGCGTCGCTCTGCGAGCATTTATATGCCTTTTTAAATTGCCGTTCGCCTCGTTTCGCTGGTCCGCTACCGTGCACTTTTTGGAATGTACACGTCAATAAAGCGCAGCAGTTCATTCGGGGTGATTGCGGTTTGACCGAGAATGATCCGGTATCACCCTGCTGTCGCAGTTCGTGACCGTCCCTGTTTTGTCATAGTTTTTAAAAAGCTGGTTTAAAGTGACAGCATCGTCTCTAAAATCGTTTCACATTGAACTGAATGGAAATGGAATTAATCTTTTCTTGCTCTTCCTAAAAAG